TATTCTGCGATCGATCTCGCGAATCAATAACCACTGTTGCATTGCCAAGCTCGGTTCCGGGTCGCTGACCGTTGGCGTCCGCTGTCCGGGATCGGCGCCACATGCCATACGACGTTGAACCCTTTCCAACCACATGCTCATATCGTATGCATTGATTAGGCGACGTGTGTGCGACATAGATCAACAGCATGCCATCAACGGGACGGCTGGCCAGGGAGCGGTTTCGAGACGGATACGAGGGTTACGTGGAAGTCTTTTCGTCGACTGTTGTAATATCTGAGTGAGAGGCGGCATGCTGGGCCACGGAGCAAGCGTCAGTAATGTGGGGAACGACAAAGCACTCAGTTTCGTCCGGTATTCACACGGAGCTATTTCATCATTCCACCAGTCGCGCTGGCGTTACGAGCTGATTCAATGACTCTGCTGGCATGAATTAGTGACCAATCAGTACTGACAAAAGCTCACCGAAACAGAGGCACGCCGATCCTTACGTCCAGGCACCACTGCTCCCACACTGCCCGCAAAGACTTCACTCTCACAAAGTCATCCAGTCTCAGGTACAGGGCGTCCAATAATGCATAAATCATCTGGTGTACCAATCAGATGCTCCGTCGGAATCACAATAACCGCTACAGCAAACACTGGTGCCGCACCCGGTGATCCAGACGTTCTTCCCTCTGGCGAACCGTCAATCACCATCGCTTCCGGTAGCCTATGACAAGCGCGGGGAAGGTGATGACTGCGTCCGCGTACCAGTGGTAAGGTACAACGCAGGTCGGATCACACTAATGTAGGTTGTATTGGGCAGCTGGCGGGAATCATACATAGAGAAAAACAAAGTCCAACGCTAAGCCATTGGTCGTATAAGCAAGCCTCTTTCCCGGTAACATGGCACACCAACATCCCGCCCCTCGACCGTACCATTCTCTCGACTCGGTCCCTCGGCTTAACGGGCCCACTCGCGCTTCTCTGGTTCCTCGTATCTATTATTGTAACGATACAACCTCTTCCATGTAGGTAGGTACTCTAGCGGGAGAACTTCGAAGCGATGGACGGGCGGCGCCACGCTGCATGCATGGCGCTCTTGGGCACTGCGTGATTCAGTTGGGTGCGGAAGAAGCTCCGGGGTCTTGGATGCTTGCCGAAGGAAAGCACATACTGAGCATGCGACCTGAGAATATGTCATGATGGATATTGAAACGTACTATTGAGGCCATGACTTCTGCAAACGCTCCCCGTTGGCACAACACCACAATCGTGTATAGATGGGAATTGAACATCTCCTTTGAACATTTTAGCCACGTTAATCCCATGTCTACGAGCGACCCTTTTGCAGGCCGTTCCTACACGTGAAACGACTACAGAACCTCTACTGTTTAAGTCATCTGCGGCTCTCTCCATGACTCTTCACGATGTCCTCGTCGTGTTACCCAACACCCTTCGCTCCCCTCTCTATTCCTTTACTGCCCCGCGGAGTTGTTCAAACCATGCATTCAGAACCCCTCAACTCTAAGTATACTGTGCCTTTGCATACCAGCGCTCACCGCCACAACAGTCTATTTCCCCCGTGACAGAAAGCACACCGCAACGATGCTCCGCCTACTCCGCTGCGTAACAATCACATCCCGCAAAGACAACCCAAGGGTGGCCCAGCCCACCGGTAGACGGAACCCACCTGCCGTTAGGGCCGTCGCCCCTCCTCGGGCACTATTGCGGACATCCCTCCCCTACCTAGCGCTCCCGCTCTTTCCACGCGAGACAATTAAAAACGAGTGGAGTTGACAAGAAAAAAGACAAATCCGCTTGCCCCCACAACGCGCGTAACGGCGAACCAGCAAGAATACGCGGGGCTTGGCCGTGATATCCCCACACTACAGAGTCATTAGTCTCGCTCAGGGAGCCTTAAATCGACAATGATGGCGCGCGCTAGCCAAAGCAGCCCGCAGCCCGCAGCCCGCAGCCCGCAGCCCGACGACCAGCCGCGATTACGACATCGGGCGCACGTTTGTCCTGCATATTGCAGACCAGGGCGGGCGCCAGCAGCGCGCCAGCGCGCGCGCGCGCGCGCGCGGGTACGGCCCAACAAGCAGGCGGAAGGGGGGGAAACAAAACCTTAATTCGCGGTACCCGATCCCGTTCGTAGTAGGAGAGCCGCAACGGATTAGACCCGTTTGAGCGTGTCTTTCCTGTAGTGGAAAACGCAGACGCGCAATACTGGGGGCGTGATAACGGCTGGGATTTGCGTATCTGGGCGGATTGTCAGCGCTTCCTCATCTTACTACCTGGCGAGCGGATGTTGTTCTTTGTCGTTCGCTAGGGATTAAGTGCTTCATTTTTCTCCCGCTTGTGGTTGGTGTCTTGCAACAGGCTTGTCGTGCGGTCGAATTTGTTTCGGCTTGAACAAATGATACTGGCACTTCGCTATTTCTTGCTGTGGATGGATGGTCTCTGTCCCGCAGTGATGCCAGCGGAACACGAGGCTCTGCTTCGACCCGCGGAAGGAGTTGGCCATCAGCTGCTGGCGTGCGTGGCGGCGGAAGATACCCTCGATAGCCATGACTATATCGACAATCCTCATGTATAGCACATTTGAATCCTACGCCAAACCCACTATTCGACCGCTCCTTCGGCCGTTTTTTTTCCATGCTGCTTTTCGCGGCGTCGGTGGGAAAGGCGCCGAGGAGCCTCGGCCCTGGGCGATGTACGTACGGCCACCACCCGGCGTGGAATCCACACGAAAATCAGTCCACACGACGACGATTAAAACCCAAGGCCAGCCACTAAGTGTGCCTTTACCGCCGCCACTATGTCCATACATCACCCTCCTTGCACGTTGCCCTTTGCTCCTGTTTGAGAACAATTCTGGCCAGACATGCCGTCAACGCTCTTTTGCCCGACAGTTTGCCCGAGCCTCGCCCGCCTGGACCTTCAGTGCAGGTGCCTACGAACGGAGAGGGAGGAAGAGCATATGATCCGATCCTCGCCCCGCCACTTCCCATTCTCCGCCCGAACAACTCTCGTTGCGAGCGGAATGCATTCCACGACACCACGACAACTGCGCTGATCATCGGCATGATGAAATGTTTGAACTGCCGGCCAAGGGGGGGGGGGTGGATGTTTGCCGTGTGTCGTGGTGCCAAAACAGGAACTAGTGCATGACGGAAATCCCCTCATCCATGAAGATCCTCCCCCATGAAGATTGCCGACAGACGTCCGCCCCGTGCCCGTCCATCACGCTCGACCCTTGCTCGGAGCGACAATCGATATTTAATGCCCCCCCTACTTACACCTAAAACGAGTCGTGGAGTGGAGCATGGGTTCCAGACCCGATCAGCGCTCTGAGCACGGAGGCCGGACGGATCCTGAGGGAAGACGGAACGAGAGGAGTCTGTGAGGGATGTGACCTGATACAAGCGAAAAGTAGAAGGAATCCCGAAGAAAAAAAAACCCTGTACTATACGCACTGGATATTGACGCCACTCCAACGGTCAAATTTCAAACAATCCTTGTCGCCAGCCAGCAAATCGGAGAATAATTATCCGCGCCTACCAGCGACTGGAAGCATCGTCCCGCAACCGGGCGGGTGGGAAGGGGCGGAAGGAAGGCAGGAAAGAAGGGAGGAGAACGAGAGAGGAGAGGGAAGGGAGGGTCCCACGTTCGCCTAAACAGTGGTGTCTTAACCGCATATGGAAGGTATGGGAAGCGAGAGCGAGCCAAAACACCACACCCAGTCAATAGTCAGGCAAGAGCCAATACTGCCTATATGCGCAATATGTGTCAATAATAATGAGTAAGAGGGGACGAAAGGGATAAACAATATTTGATGTACCATTTCTGAAGACTACGTCATCAACTCTTTCCTCTCCTCATTTCTAGCTACCGCTGCCCTGTCGATCCTGCGCAAAAAGAAAGCTGCTTATCACATCCCTACAAGACAACGTGTTGGCTTTTGCTTTCAACCAATGGTGAATGTAGCAACCAGAGAGACAAGGAAAGAGGGAGGTAGAAAGGGAAGAGAAAGAGCGCGGCTCAAAGTCCGCTCCGCTGGTCGGCGCAAAAAAAAAAAAAAACCCCTGGAGCAAAGAGATAAACAAGGCAATGGGGGGGCCCCACGTAGTAAAAGCAAGGCAGGAAGCACGTGGTCCTACTCTCTCATGATCCATCACATCAACGTGCATATGCACATGCGTGCAGAAAAAAAAAAGGCCCGAGAAGCTTCTGTACATGTGTATACACCGTAGCATCATCGCCACGTGGACAACACGGGATCAATGACTACATACCCGGCCCCGGATCGGTGGGACTGGAGTCATGAAGATGCAGCTAACTGAATCGCTCAACGCCTTTCGTTCTCCTGCATAAAGGCGCCTTTTTGCATGTGATGATGAGACACTTCCAACATTGACCCCGACTGCTGAGCGCAAGAAAGAGCATGTGATGGATTCCATCATCGAGAGGGACGTATGAGGTAAGTTATCTCAGTATCCATTTGCAGCAGTTTTTCAACGGATTGAACGAGAGTAGAGCCGTTGGGATTGTAACGTCGTCGTGTCCGCGGAATATACATACATGGATCCGGCCGTTTTGCCTTCGACTCTACATGCCGCCTGGTAGAAGTGACTTTTGCAATACCACTTGCTATGAAGGCCTCGTATACATGCCGCCAGACTGTACAGTACATACATTGCCAAACAAACAGCGCGTGGGGTGGCAAAACCACCGCATCAGACTTCTGTACATATATACACAAAATCGCCATCAAAAAATCTCGTCGCCACAAACGCTTTAAGCAATAGCTACGTTAAAGAAACAGACTTTTGTTGATCGTCCCGTGAATCATCGTAAATGCCGGCCTTCCAATTACCAAAGAAAGCCAAACATGAGATGACGGTAGAGAAAAAAAAGCGACAACCACATAGAATCATGTACAGAAAAAAAGAAGAAAAAAAAGCCCCTCCACCTCACTCCTATTGCGGTGGTCTCCCCTCCCCTCCCTTCCTTCAGTTCGGTCCCTTCATAGCGAACCAATCCGCACTAGCATCCACCATGAAATTCGTAATATTGAAACCATCCCCCATCTCCACGCCAGCTCCCTGTTGTCCCATACCACCAGCGCCAGCGCCAGCACCACCCGCCAGCTCGCCTCCGCCATTACCAGTACCGTCTACGCCTCCTGCCCCGGCACCGGCGCCGCCGCCGCCAGCGGCCGCCCCTGCGCCGTTCAGCGGCAACCGTGGCATGTTGAAGAAGTCGAACACATCGAGGTACTCGAGTTCGTTGGGTGCCGGCGTGCGCGCAGGTGTGGCGACCGCGAGGCCGTTGTTATTGTTGTTGTTGTTGTTGTTGTAGCGCTGATGTTGGTCCGACTGCTGCATACCCGCTCCGCCTTGCTGTTGCTGTTGCTGTTGTTGCTGCTGCTGCTGCTGGAAACCATTGCTGCTGCCAACACCCGCACCAGCACCACCGTTGGCCGTGTTGTTGTTATTGTTACCACCAACACTGCCAAGCAGCTTCGGCTGTCTCGAGATGAGAAAGTCCAGATCAAACGCACAGCGCCGCATGTCCGCCAAGATCTTGACCGTGCTCGGCGTGGCGCGCTGGCCGTTGAGGTCGGCGGGCGCGTGGCGGCTGGCGCGATACTCGTCGAGGACGCGCTGCAGCAGGGTGGCGTAGCGCTCCGCGACGCGCCAGTACGAGCCCAGCTCGCGCAGCGTCTCGACGAGCGGGTTGATGGCCGGGTCGACGTGGTGCTCGATGGTGGAGCCGTGCACGAGCAGCACGCGCGCCGCGACCCAGAGCGAAAACGCAAAGGGCGTGCCGAGCTGCGAGAGCATCCCGTTGGTCTTGACGTACTCGCAGAGCCCCGTGATTGCTTCGACGGCCGTGAGGCAGCGCTGGATGGCGGTGTAGGACGGGGTGAAGATGGGGGAGCGGGTCGTCGGGTAAGCCGCCGAGGAGTGGAGGCGAATGACGGTGCTACACGCGGGGGTTAACATGGTTGTACGAGGCACGGTGTGATGCGTGTACTTACGTGTGGAAAGCGGCATGCAGCATGATCCAGCCGCAGTCCACCACGGAGTCGGCCTTTGAGGTGGCGTAAATGCGTGACATGTTGCCAAAATCACTTGGGATGCTGTACTTCCACGATGCCAGCGCATTGTCCAGCTCCCTGAACTCACGCTGCCACTGCTCCACGTCTGTCAGGGACCCGATGTCGACAGGCTTCTTCAGGAATTGATGGATCTGGGAGAGAATACCCAAGAGCTCAACGTAATATGAAAACGATCCTAGATTTTCAGGCTTGTTCAAGGTGTAGTCTGTTCGCTTCACGGTGCGGAACCAACGTGTCTCGACGGGTTGGTTTCGTGAAAAGACGTCCTCGCGGCAGGGCAATTTGCGGTCAATCTCCTTTTCGTCAAGAGCGAATTCAAAGGCGGTTGCGATGGTGGCGTAGCGATCAAGCAAGTATACCATCCAGAACAATCTTCGACGGCTTTCGTCTTCAATGAAATCCATTGGTTCAGGAAGCACCATGGCCCTTAGTGTGTAAATCGAGGGCACATTGGGTGAGACCAAGCTTGACGTAGTTTCAACTGACAAGCCGAGCTGCACCACTGAACGAGTGATGAGAGCCAGCAGATTCCAACCTGGAGGGCCATTGGAAAATCCCACAAGATCTAGGGCTAAAATCACGAGAGCCTGGAGTGCTTTTACAGAACTGTTTTCAAGTCCGTAAAGCAGGACCTTCTGCTTCGACGTGGAGTGGTACCGCTCGCGGCTCTCCTTGGTCAGGCGGGGATCCGTGGAGAACCTCAGCGTGGTAGCAACGATTGCATGCAGCAATATTCGGTCTGCTTCTTCCAGGGTTGACGAGCCAAACAGAGAGTCTAGTGTGGATCGACGATGCAATATCGGACACCAGGTGTTTATGTGCTTGAAGTACAAGTCGGCCAGGGCATACAAGAGGTCGTACGGGGGAAAGTCGGGCTCTTGCGAGCTGATGGCAGGCTGTGGCTGGTGGTTCATGGAGATGTTGAGGCTCGGCGACTCCAATGGCGCGTTGTGGTTGCCGTACATTCCCCCGGCACCGGTGGGTATCGATATCGAGTGGCCTCGGACACCATGGCCCATGTGCTGCTGGTAGGCATTGCCACCATGGTGAATTGCGGGACTGCTCGGCAGACCCAAGCTAGTAGAAAAGGACAAGCCAGGCTGAGCGGGCGGGAAGGCAGAAGATTTCTGCAGGAACAGGGCAGCCTCGGGCTTGGGGACGTGAGGAGTCTGAAGGACAGGTGGGGTGTGGTGAAAGGCGGGAGTGTCGTGCTGGGAGAGAGCAGAGCCGGGGCTGGCGTGGCTGGCGTGACTGGCGTGGCTGTTCTGATTGGAGGCCAGCTGCTGGATGGTGTGCTGCTGGCGTTGGATCATGTCCTCGAGGCGATCTACACGATCAGTCTCGGATTCGGCAGTTTGGGGCGTGGGATGCGGGCTCACCGAGACGCGCCTCCAGCTCCCTGCCGTAGCCGGCGCGCAGGCCCGGCTTCTTGCGCTCCTTGTACTCGCACAGCTGATTGTTGCGGACGCACCAGCCGCACGAGGGCTGGCCGCGGTCGCCTGGGCGGGGAGATGCAGCAGTCAGCGTTGGCGCACATGAAACACGATGGGTCCGGGACTCACACTTCACCTTGCGTTGCTTGCACAGCTCGCAGGAGACGGACATGGGCCGCTTGCGCTTGCGCGAGGAGCCGTCATGCTCGTCGCCGTCCTGGCTCGCATCGGGTGCGTCGTGGTCGGCATCGGAGTCGCGTGCCTGATCGCTGTCTACATCGTCGAGCGGGGCAGTCGGCGGGCGTTGATGGTGCTGCTGGTGGGCGCCGCGCTGCGGGCGGGTCGCGTCGGACAGGGACGACGGTGACGGATTGTGGCTCGCGTCGTTGTAGCCCTGGTGCGGTGCCGACGAGGTAGCCATGGCGCTGGGCGGGCAGTGATGAAGATTCGGTGCAGAGATGTGACGAGATGCCGAGCGTGGAGGAGGTTTCGCCCGAGGGTCAGGGCCTGCCGTGGCCAGAGCGTGGCCGCAGCGCGCGCCGAGTTTGGGGAAGGCTGCAGCCACGACAAACGCGTGCCGGGCTGGCGGGCCCCGGCACAGTGCGGGGTGCGTGTCGCGGGACAACACCACGAGTTCCACCGAGCATGAAAGCTGCTGCGCCTGGGCCAGCGCCATGCCGCGCCGGGCTACCGCCAGCAGCCCACGCGCGCGCCGCGAGGCACGCGTCCCTATTTAACGCCCTGCCCGCTCCCCGACACGGCCCTCTCAGCACTCGCCCTTCTCCCCCGCATTCCCCGCCACCATGTCTCCCTCCGCCCGCGCATTCCCCACCATCAAGAAGGTGAAGACCTTCCTGATCCAGGGCGTTGGCTCTGGCGGCGACTACCACAATGTCAAGGGCGGCCATTGGCTCATTGACACCAAAATCTCGACCCCCATGTCGGGCTACGAAGCCTACCGCAAGTCGCGCACCTCCTGGGGCATCAACGTGCTTGGTTCTTTCTGCGTTGAGATTGAGGCCTCGGACGGCACCAAGGGCTTCGCCACCGGCTTCGGCGGTCCGCCCGCGTGCTGGCTCGTTGCGGAGCACTTTGAGCGCTTCCTGATCGGCGCCGGTGAGCTGCTTCCCAGCTACAACAAACGAGGCGTGCAGAACTGACCACCGCTCCTCCAGACCCCAGAGATACGAACCACCTCTTCGAGCAAATGTACCGCGGCTCCATGTTCTACGGCCGCAAGGGTCTCCCCGTCGCCGTGATATCCGTCATCGACCTCGCCATCTGGGACCTGCTCGGCAAGATCCGCAACGAGCCCGTCTACAAGCTGATCGGAGGCGCGACGCGGGACCGCCTCCACTTCTACTGCACGGGGCCGGAGCCGACGGCGGCCAAGTCCATGGGCTTCTGGGGGTCCAAGGTGCCGCTGCCCTACAGCCCCGGCGAGGGCCCCGAGGGCATGCGCAAGAACATCGAGTTCCTGACCAAGCACCGCGAGTCGGTCGGCCCCGACTACCCCATCATGGTCGACTGCTACATGTCGCTGAACGTGCCCTACACCATCGAGGTGGTCGAGAAGACCAAGCACCTCAACATCAACTGGTGGGAGGAGTGCCTCTCGCCCGACGACTTCGACGGCCACGCCCTGCTGAAGGCCGCCCACCCCACCATCAAGTTCACCACCGGCGAGCACGAGTACTCGCGCTACGGCTTCCGCAAGCTGATCGAGGGCCGCAACCTCGACATCCTGCAGCCCGACGTCATGTGGGTCGGCGGCATGACGGAGCTGCTCAAGATCTCCGCCATGGCCCAGGCCTACGACATCCCCGTCGTCCCCCACGCCAGCGGCCCTTACTCCTACCACTTCGTCATCGCCCAGCCGCACTCGCCCTTCCAGGAGTACCTTGCCAACTCTCCCGACGGCAAGTCCGTCCTGCCCGTCTTCGGCTCGCTCTTCAGCAACGAGCCCATTCCCGTCAACGGCTACCTCGACGTCGCCGACCTCAACAAGCCCGGCTTCGGCCTCGAGATTGCCCCCAACGCCCCCTTGATCGACGCCACAAACATCCTGAACCCCGCCCCGGCCAAGGCTTTGACCGCCCCGCAGCCGGACGAGGAGAAGGCGAGCAGCTCATAGGCCCAACGATTCCCCCTTCTATTGATCAAGACTTATGAGGTTTTTTTAAGGCGCAACGTTTTCGGCGGGAGACGTGTTTGCAGTGTATTCCTGTTTTTGGCCGTTATGATACACAATCTTCATAGCTTGACACAAAAAAGAAAGTCGAGCGTCAGCGTCTGGAAGTATCAAGAATGAACACCCACGTAGAAGGAAGAAGAAATGAAAGCAAAAGAAATTCAAAAGCATCAACATACTAAAAGTGTCTCCTAGAACTGAAAGTTGTATCGGGGGGAGAATTGCAAAACGTCCGAGAGAGAGATCGACAGGCAGTCAAGATAAGCTTGTGAATTCACCATCTTCCCCTGTCATTGGCTATTTGACTATTAGCTAGAAATGGCTAGCCAAAGCTAGCTGTTTACTAGACGATTGATCGTGCCAGTGCAGCTCGACATCTCCGAGGTTCCTGCCGCAACGACAATCAGCAAAACAACCTACAAATCCGAAACCCCAGCCCATCCTCATCACGCAAGAAAAGCAATCCAGTTTCCCCTCCTCCACATGTCGTCGTGGACCTGTCCCATATGGCCGAGCTCCGAAGTTCCTTCATGCAAATACTCTTTCCCATGACCTATCGCCCAGTTCAACAACACGGGCAAACCTTCCTCTTCGCACGCACCCACAAACCAGACATCATCCCCCTTGCCCCTTGGCCCCCCACAGCCCATCACCATCACCATCATCATCAAACCATCCGCTCACTCATCCCTCACTCCCTCCCTTCCTCCCCCCCTTTCCCCTCTCCCTCAAACAACCAAAAACCTCACCCCCACCAGAATCCCCTCCTCCTCAAACTCCCCCGTCCTCTCACTCCTCACCTGCCTCACGACCCCACCCCCAAACGCCCTCGGCTCCCCCTCCCTCCACCCATCCTCACCCGTCTCTGCCGCTGCCGCCGCAGCAGCAGCAGCAGAGAACCGCCCGCCGCCCCTCGCTTGTTGATGAACACCCGCCGGTGGCGGTGGCGGTGGCAGCGGTGGCAGAGAAGTCGCCGTCGACGACGGCTGCGCATATGCGATGGCGCAGTCCCGCGCCAGCGCCGGCGTCTCGAACGCGCGGATCTGTTTTTCCATCAGCGCGTGCGGGTTGGGGCGGCGGGGGTGGTCGTCGCCTGCGCGGATGGATGCGGGGCGGGTTGTTCTGGTGCCGCTGGCGGAGAGGGTGGTGGTGGTGGTGGCGGAGTTGGGTGGCGGTCTGTGCGGGGTGGCTGCTGATGACGTCGCCGTCGCGCGTGACGGGATGCGGCGGTGGCGGTTGTTTGGCGTGGTGGTGGTGGCGGCTGCTGCCCTTGTGCGGGTTGATGGCGGTGCGTACGAGGAGGCGGAGCCCAGGTCGTCGTCGTGGGTGGGGGCGATCGCTTGCGGCGGGGTGGCGGTAGCAGGGGTGAAGTAAGGGCTCTGTTGTGTTGTCGTTGGCTGCGGGTAGCGCGGCAGCGGGTTGGGCGTGTTGTGGATGCCGCCTCTGATGGGATAGGTGCTGCCGGTACTGCTTGGGATGCCGGCCTGGGTACGGGGCGGGACGGGTGTGCTCGGGATGATGTGGGTCGGGGTGGTGGGGCCGTGTTGGTAAGGAGTTGAAGGTGGGAAGGGGGGACGAGAGGGAGAGAGGAGAGATGTGACCCTTTGGAAAGGCTGTTTGCCCTCTGCGACCCGTCTCATGTTGGTACGATCCTCAGCGGCGGCAGCGGCGGAGGGAAGCTGCGAGAGGCGGAAGGCATTGTTGATGTTGATAGTGTGGATAACTTCCTTGGACTTCTTAAAGACAACACGCCGGATTATGGGATCCTCCTTCTGGTCCATATTCTGATTCGGGGTAAGCGGGGACGTAGGAGGGCGGCGACGCGGTCCGGCGGGATCCAGGTCGATTCTCGAGCTTAGGGTGAAGGAGTTGAATAGAGACCGTGGAGACTTGTCATGAGGGCTGCCCAGTGTGGTGAATACGCCACGATTCGTCATCCCAAGCCCGCGTTCTGCCGACTTGATATCCAGGGGTGAGATTCCACCAGAAAGCCGACGCTTCTTGCGAGGACTTCCTCCTTCATCTTGATCAGCCTTACGGCGGGTACGAATACCAGTTTGAATTTCTATCGGCGGTAAGAGTGGCGCTCCAAGCGACGATGAACTAGTTTTAATATCGGGCATTGAGCTTGACAAAGGGGCGAGATCGGTCTTGGTTGCTTCCGAGGCTTGTGATGATCCAAGAGGCATCGAAGATGACATCCCGATAGCGTTGAGTGGCTCTGGCTGTGTGCCAGTACCTGAACTGTTGAAAAGGTCACCAGGACTGGAAGTTGAAGTTGCCTCGTCTTCAGGTATTGCGCCAAGTCGCTCTACGAATCGAGTAGACATATGGTTAACGGCGGCCCTCGGTGAAGTGACGTATGATTGCTGATCAAGTCTCTTCATTTGCTCCTTGTGTCTTTCCATGGCAATCTCACCCCTTACTTTGGCTGGCGAATCATCAAGGGCGGGCCCAACCTGGAGGCTGTAACCTTGTTTAGTTACGCTCTCAGAAATGTGTGGCGGCAGCTGTTCGGAAGACCTGATCGTATTGCCTGCCTTTTCAACGGACGGTCCTGATGATGTATCAGATTGCAGGGCTCGCGAGGATGTCTTGTCTGGCCTTGGTCTTGCCGGAATTCTCCCAATAGTTGGGGTCTTTTTACCGGAACCACGTCGAGCCGGACTATCGGTCCTCAGGTTGTAACGGCCAGTAGTCCTTTCAGCATCCATCTTCGGTTGAAGAGGTATGTCTTCGAAGATCGGAGGGGTTTCATGCCGTTGCTTGAACTTTGAACTCCCCATGCGCGTGGGTTCGGAAAGGTAGGCCTTTGCAGGATTGTGCTTGAAGCCGTAGCCATATGACAACACGACATCAATGACCCCAAAAGACTGCCCGCGTGGCTCTGACCAAGCCTTCAACTCTTCAGGCATGGCCAGCTTCGCAACTTTCGTAAGGTATCTCGCCACCACAGGCGGGTTCCCCTCCTTGTCGACTCCTCTCGCCGAGGCTTCTTTCATGACCTCCTTCTGAATCTTCTCCCAGCGATCTTCGAGAGTGTCATTGCTCGCCATTGGTCGCCTTCGAGAACCATCGGGGTCCTGGCCAGGTGGTACAATTACCCAGGCCCGCTCGAGCATCCAATGAAATCGCAGGCCGCTGAAGATGCTTAACAGCTGCTCTTGTCTCCGCTCCTCCTGGTGGAACCGCTTGGGCCACATGTTAGAGTGGGTTAGCTGGCCGTTGAAGAGCACGTCGATGCGGATATCGTCGAGTGGCTGATCTGTCTTTAGAAAGGACTGTTTGGAAAGCTCGACGCGAAGCGCGAGGGCTTGCGGGATCTTGATCGCGTCTGCAGGATCCGGACCCAGGATCCTTGCGTAGATGGCGTTGCGCGTAGGATCTGGGTGGAAGGCTCTTGCTTCTCTGGTGGCAGGCTGAGTACCCATGTCAATGTATCACAGTGAGGCGCGGAGTGAAGTGTTTACTTACTACGTGGCGCAAGTCCTCGCCGGCGCGGACGAAGAAGAATGGCATGTACTCATCGCCGTCGAGAAAGTGCAGCGGGTTGCTGTCGCCATCCAGTGGGATGTTGCTCTCTCTCAATACGTGTCCATTCTTGAGTGTTTGCTCGACGCCCGCAACGTACTCAGTGAGTGCCGTGGCTTTCTTGTTTGAGGGCGCATCTGTAGTGGTACTTCTGAGAGCGGCGCTGACGAGATGTACTTTCGTGCGAGACCCAAGGTGAACGGGCATGGTGAACAAGACGGACTTGGTTCGTCGGATGTCCAGAGGTTCCCAGACGCGAAGAGCGATTCAGAAAAGGGCGGTGAATGAGGACGGCCGCAGGAAGACAAGCGGTGTAGAGTAGGAGGAAGTGGGATGTAGTAGACGCGGTTGTGTTGAGGCAGCAGTGGGAAGCGCGAAAGATGAAGAACCAAGTCGCGCTCCGCAACGAGCCTCACCTACGCGCAGGCTCATGCGACGCGCTTGATACGTGCCCCCATGTGACCTGACTCTGTAAAACTTGCGAGAAAACGCAAACCCGTGACAGCTAGAGCGCAGTGGTGCCCTCTACTTCATTCGCCCTACCCGCTTGACATGTTCGAGACGCGCCCAACACCGAAAGGCATGAAATCATGGAAAATCGCGTCCACACGCGACGCGCTCGATTTTAGACACGGCGTTAGCATCCGGGCGACCTCAATCATCCAGATCCATAACACGGTCCGAATCTTCCAACTCCAGCTCCCGTGGTCGGCAAGCTTCCTCGGGCTTCTCCACCCTCAAGCCAATAGGTGGAGCGTTGGTTAGGTCGTCTCCCAACTCAACCAGCGTCCTGTCAAAGACCTTCGCCGTCTTCATGCCCCATGTCTCTTCCCCATCATCACCAGCCCCATAGTCGTCCGCCTGATCCCAGTCTACATCCGTGCCTGACTCCAGCGCCGACTCCTCTTCCTCCACGTCATCCATCTCCGGATCGCACTTCAGCATGGCTTCCACCACCGCTGACCTTGAGTAATGCACCATACTATTAATCCTGACCTTCTCCGTCGCATTCACCCTCCTCCCGCCCTCAAACCCGGGCAGCTCATCACCGGTCTCCACATCGCGTCCCTGAATCAACGACGCAAACGCATGATCCAGCTTGTCCAACGAGTGAAACAACGACTTCGGCGACACTGGGAATCCCTTCATGCACTCGTTCACGAGGTCCGCGAGCGTGAGGAGGTACGCGATCTGCAAGCTCGCTGCACCAACGTCAGCAAAAAGAACAATAATGCCTTGGACATGCATGACGACGACGGACGGAGCAACTAACGAGTCCCAGAAACCCACACCAAGTCCATCAGCTGGTCGACATCCCGCAACGCCTCTTTCAGGCTCGTGTATCCCTTCACATCACCGCCGCCGCCGCCGCCACTACTCGGCTCTGCGCTGTCATCCGCGGCGCCGCGCTTCGCATACCGCCTCCGTATCTGCCTGACGCGGTCGTCCGTGAAGCGGATGAATGCCGACTCCATGGTGCCGCCCGCCTTGAGCGGCTTCGAGCGCGGGTGGGGGAGGCGCGTCGTCGTCGTCGTGGTGCTGTTGGTCGCCGAGGCGATGGAGGAGGCGGGCGGGGTTGCGGGGTGGAAAAAGCCGCCGGAGGCGCTGTTGGTGGTTGCCATGGCGAGTGGGAGTGTGTGTTGTGTATGTCTGTATGGTCGTGTCGTGTCGCGGGTGTATGTATGTACAAGTGGTTGCGGGGCTGGCTGAGAGACGTGCTGGCGTGCGTGTGGCGTCTTTCACGAGGGGTCGTGGCTTTGTTGTTGTTATATGGAGGTGTTTGGGCGGGTTGAATGCATGATCGGTTTGAGGTTGCTGTAGGTATCACATTTGTTAGTGGGGTCAGGGCAGAGCCCGCGAACCGAGTGTGGGGAAGCTGTACGTGACGCATGGTAGCGTGTTGTTAGGATGACGTCGAGGCTCAGCCCCACAGCTGGTTGCAAAAGAATTGAGTCTGGGCATTTACATCTGTACTACAGGAATATTACGCGGTACTGATGTTGACATTGAAATTCTACATACAATTAGTTACTCGGTTCAATACTTGCACCCATTTCGGGATATCCGTTTCCACTATTTACGCGGGGAAGTTGGAGTGGAGCACACGAGGACGAACTCTTTTTTTTTACAGGTCCTGACGGAATGATCTACTGTCGCCAGGTAAGTTCTTGGTGGCAGCACCAGAAGCCAGATTTCAAAGCGCCAGCAGAAAGTCACTACTGCAAGGGTTCACAAACACCCTCAAGAGCACGTATTCAATTTTCCCAACGATTGGTAAGTGGCACGCTCTAGAAATTCTGCGTTCCGTTAGCCGTTGAAATCCTTGGATCCTCCGGCCCGCCTTTGGACAACTAGCATGTGGCCAACTCTGGGTCTAACAAGGGCTTCCCCGCCGTTTTCAAATCGATCCGGCGATGTTCTCTGATCGGCGCCTAGGTAGCCACGCACACGGAAGATGCCCCGCAGCCACATGGATCTGCAATTGCGGGAGCCCCGAATTGTTCTACCGCTGGAACCTCACCGGAGTTTCCCTCAAGCCGTTATTGAATTGGTGAGCGGCCGTTGATATCGTGCTTGATAGTCTACCAGTCATGACGGACGCCTCATACTATCCGCATTTTTCTCATCTCCGTATCTGCGTACCATCCTGGCGACTCTATCTTCCCGACCCCGACTCTTCTGTAAGTTTCGTTATCCCCGTCTGTGCCACAGTGCACTAGAAGGAGAATCCAGTAGTGGTGAATTCCGTTGGGAAACTGTTTCTCCTCTTTCCCCAGCACGGCCAAAGAATAGACATCTTCACTTAAGAGCTTGCCTTCGTCAAACAAGGCCCAGCCGACCGGCTCTTGATCGGAGTCGTAAACCAGGTGGGTCAGTGCCCAGCCGAGTGGATGTTCCGTTAGATCGAAGCTGAGTGACGAGAACTTGTCGTGGAGATTGCTTTCAATGCTAAGCAGCACGCCGGTCAGCCGTGGATCAGCATCGTCCTGGTTCTGTGACACGGCAGAGAGCCCGCTGTCCTGTCGCTTGAGTGTAACGTCGGGGAGAGGCCTGAGATGAGGCAGCTTCTTGACCCAACCAGTCGCTTCTACGACCCTGTCGTCGTGCTCTGATATGCGTAAGCGCCGACTTATCCGCTTCGCCCTCTCGATTTTCTGGTACCGCACGCCGTGACACGTCGATGCCCACGTCCAGGTTGGAAAGTTGTTTGGGCTCCTGTCTCTCTCTGCGGCCTGCAAAGGGAACCAGAGGAGGCCGTCTGCTAGTGTGTCCGCCCAGACGCCGTAGATGCACCTTGTGCTACTGACCTTCTGCATTTCATTCGCTAGACCTTTAAGCGCTACGAGACGGTCCGTCGCATTAGTTAGCTTCCTAGCCGAATACTTCTCAACGATGATCTTCCAGCGGGTGTTTCGCGCCCTGGATAGCGCGTTAGTCCGGTTGGGATTTACTGTGAGCGAGAGTCGTACGTGTCATGAAACGAATCCCTTGTCTCTCGTTGAGTTATTGTTCGACAGGACCACACAATGCACTCTCGTGTGTAGAAAATGACTCTCCTGGACAGCAACCACTCCCTGCAAAGTACCGGTTAGTTCCGGACAAGCCTTGCCAGATCAGGCAGGTTACTGACTGAGTTGCCCACGCTCTTTCGGACAAGGGGCTGAATTCGGGGCTGATGGAAAAGTAATTAACGGGCAGTAGTGTGCAGTGGAGGTGACCCTCCTGCTTGCCCTCGGAGTTCCAGTAGGGGAGTTGCACTGCGGGGCGAGCGGGGGGTCTCTCGAAGAAGCAGCCTTCGGTCGAGTCCCTGGCGTGGCACGCGGCGATGGTCAGCACTGCTCGTTCGTAGATCATGCCCATCTGCTCGGACTCGCGTAGCCAATCATCATGATCGTCCTGTACAATGCACAGCGAGTCGATCCAAATATAGCGGAGGCCCAGCGTTCTCACGACGGTGATGGCGTCGCGAAAGGTCTTGGGCAGGCGGTGCCAGGAGATCTCTGTCAGATGCTGTGGCAAGGTGGCTTTGATGGTGGTGAGCGGGTGTCTGTCCTGCGGGCCCCAGCAATGGCTGAGTGTCACATATCGGCCACTGGCACCCATGGGCTGGAGCAAGCGGACGTTCGCCGATCCATCGGGCGGTGCAACGTCGATGACGCGGCTAGGCAGGACGGGCTCGTCTGTCTCATCGAGGGTCGACTTTGACAACGTCCGCCTGCAGCTCGGATGATAATTCAAGCAAGTGCTCAGCCATTCGCGCGTCATGCGGAAGGCGTCGGGGCAATCAGACGAGGGCAGCGGAGGCCCGCACAGGACGTCGCCGCTGGTGGAGGCGGGGCTGTCTAAGACGGTGTTCAGCAGTGGAGAACCCGGCTGCCCGGTCACCGGACTTTGTCATACCTGGCTGCGCGTAAAGACGTATTCGGCCGCGCAGAGCAACACCATCCGCTCCGGGCAAGAACACGGCGATGGCCTTGCCGAGCTTCTCGAGATGCGCGCGCGGGCGCTCGCGCGGCAGGCGGCCGACGCCATTTCTCCTCAGCTGGAGGTACACGGGGCCAGCCGCGACAATGCCTCCCAGGCTGGCCAGGTCAGCCTCGTCCCAGTACGGCGGGTCGTCTGAAGTCAGATGGTGGTTTTGCAGGACGGACGCCGCGATCAGCGCGCAGAACGAGCAGGCGGCAGCGGAGCGCGGGAGCTGACGAGCGTCGGGGAGATGGACCATGCCCGTGACGCCCGACGACTCGCTGGGTCGCGGCAGCCAAGCGGGCGGGTCGTCGACCGCAGCAGTCAGGGCCGGGATGCTGATGGCAGTGCAGGCAGCGCAGAGAGCCATGCCTCGGATGGTGGAGGGCACGGCCTCAGAGGACTGCTATTCGCGAATGCAGGATTATTGGACGCATGGGCATCAGGAAGGTGATGTCGAGCAGCGGCGAATCACAGCGGGCAGCGGGCTCCGCGCAGCTTCGTGCAGCCGCGCCGTCGGCCCACAGCTGGACGGCGGGCAGGCTGGAGGAACGGTTCGTCGCGGGCGCGCCGAGACGGCTTGGGAGGTGGTGAGGTCTTGCGGCGCTGGGGTGCCTGGGGCGGCGACGGAGCGGAGCCGGCTGCCTTACGGCGACGGGCTGGGGCGGTGGAGGCTGCCTGCTCGTCCCGCCGCGCCCTGCGTGCTGATTGCTGTTGGCCGCTGGGGGGCCGCGGCGGGAATGAACAGTAGGAGCCGCCACCTGCTCCTCGCATCGTTTCAGGAATGGTGGCTGCTGGGCAGGGCTGGATGCGCCTTTTCGCTGCGCCTTCGATGCTTTCTAGCGCGACTCTCTCCGCACACTGCCTGTGCCGATCGGCCAATCTCTCTGGCTGCTGCCACACCCTCTCCTCCAGCCTGTCAGGCACAGCCCTTCCCAGGCTGCCGTCAGCGCCCGCTTGCGCAAGCATCTCGAGGCGACGAAACGGCCACCTATGGCGCTGGCGCAAAGCGTGATTAGGCGTCGATGAGTCCAGGGCGCCCGCGCGGGCTCGCATGGCGGCGTCGCCTCCTCTCCTATTTCGCCACCCACGGCGCAGGGCTGAATCGGGCCCAGGCTTTTCTCATCTCGAGCTCTCCTGTTTTTCGCAGCCCTGGCCACCCGCTACGCCATGGCGTCTTCCCGGCGCCGTGGTTCGTTGCTTTTTATGCTCCAAGCTCGCTCACCTGCGCTAGGTGACGCCGTCGAGACCAGAGCACACGCTACCAGCATTCCCCAGCGCCAGCCTCGCTGCCCTACAAGTACAACTGCTTCACTCAACGGCCCGCCTATGAAGCCCGTCCTTGCACCCCCACGCGCTCCTCGACACCCACCTTAGAGACATCCGTCGCAGTCCAAACCGCTCCACATGTTCGAATCCTTCAGCTTCGCCGCCGCGTCGCGGCACCCCTCCTCACTCGACCCGGACGACTACGCCTACCCGGACGTCTCCCTCTCGCCCACCTCGTCGCCCATGTCCGAGCAGAGCTTCCCCGAATCCTCCATGTCGGTGGCCGAACTTTCGCGACGCTTCGGCGCCCAGAACATCACCAGCGATCTCTCGCAGCCCACATCGCCCTTCTCGCTCCCTGCGCCGTGGACCGAGCACGACGACTGGACGTCCACCTCAGCCTCGTCACCCACCTCGTCATACTTCCCGGACGACGCGCTCCCGGATCCTACCGCCATCCGCTCGCGCAGACAGGCGCACACACAACTACAGTGCGACGCCGCGCACATGCGCGACATCTCGTCGCTGGTCAAGAAGATGATCGAATCAGGGGACCAGTGCAAGCTGGCTCCGCGCAACGACTCGGTCGTCTCGTCCGAGTCGTCTGGCGACGACGCCGATGACGAGCCGTACGACCTTCCTCGCAGCAACAGCTCGCCGGCCATCTCGCAAAACCTCCGGTACAGGCGGTCGGGCGAGGTGCTCAGCACGGCGGCCGTATCCAAAAACATTCGCTTCCGCAGGCGTCACGCCCGCAAGGTGACGAGCCACAGGTGATTTTAGGATCATCGGATCGTCGTCATCTTTCGGGTGACTGATTTCAGGCGTTACGGTTGAGGGGACACGAAGCATTCTTATTTGATACCCCATGCTCTGGAAACATTGCGCGACGCATTATAGGGATACAGCATTGTAATATGATGTTCGCACGCGCACGGCGGACACAGGCGTTCTTTGGGTACTACCACCCCAGCTTGGACCAGGGGGTACCACGCGATGGGGTTTCATACGGCCGAGCCCAGGCTCGGAGGCTCTCTTCTTCTTCACCACAGGGGCGGTCGTCTCTTCTAGACCACCGCCACCGATTATTGTTCCCCAAAACATGTAGTTAGTTGACGTACACCAACGTACCGACAGTAATTATCATCAGAGATTTTACTTAGTGCAAGCCATGGACTGCGCCGGAAAGCTGGCTCGGAAAGCCCGCTGCTCGTGCACGTGATTGGCGCCGGCAGATCGGCGGTCCCCCGTCTGCATGCAGCCTTGATTAGCGAAGGCGTTGCCCTGCGAGCGCGCGTCGTCGCGTCACTTTGCAGAAGTCAAGCTGCACCTCCACCCTCGCGCCCAGCACCGTCGCACACTCGATTGAACCGCTCAATGGCCGCCTTCAGGTCCGCCGCGGCCAAGGCCGTCCACCTCAAGGTCTTCCCGCGCCCGACCAGCCTCAGCGAGAGCCGCGAGCTCCTCAACGTCCTCCAGCAGTTCGGCGAAGTGACCATGTTCAAGAGTCTTCGGGTAAGACGATCAGATCAGCGATGCGGTGCGAGTGCAGACGCTCACATGGAGCCCGCGCACGCAGTTAGACTACCTCCAGCCCGCCCCGAATACCTGTCTCGCCATTTACCGAGACGCCACCTCCGCTGCCAGTCTGCTCAAAGCGTCACCGCTGCGTTTCACGCTCGAACCTGTTGTTGGCAACGACGACGCTGGCGAGCCTCACGATCAAACTCCTCAGTCGGCCCGGGAGGATGCAACGGCATCGACGCTAGACTCGGATCTAGACCCAGAGGTGGCAGACGTCATGGGAGACGCCCAGTTCAGCATAAAGGAGGGCCGCGGCAAGCCCGGCGCTGAGGAGATGCTCCGTCCGAGCACGCTGCTCTATCAGACGATCGATGCCTTTTCCCACCCCGTAAAAACCGCCCAGTCGGCGACGGCGCAGGACACAGCCTCGAGCGATGTCTCGGGCGTCGCCCAATCCGACGCCGGCTCCGCAAGCCCGGACGCCGAATTGGTAGAACGTCCCGAGCACGATTATGCCGGCCAACGGCAACAGCAGCCAGGCCCGACTTCCGCGCCCAAGCACGTCCCCGCACCACAGCCTCCACGCGTGTTCCACGTCGTGGCAGACATCTCGGAAATGAACCATCGTGATTACATCGAGCGCTCCATGTGGTACGGCCCTTACAATCCGCGGAAGCGGACCTTGTCGTATATGGACCTCACCGCGAGAGGCGTGCCGTCGAATATCGCCGACGTATGGTCAAAGAAGCCGGAGCAGCCGATGCGGGTGGTTCAAGAACTGCGTGAGAAGGCCTCTAGCGCGCCCACGCTCAGGGAGATCTGGAAGCAGGGACAGAAGCAACGTGCGTAGAAATTGGGCTCGTCGAGCGGATTTGCGCCTGATGAAACCCGGTAAGCAGCATTCACGAGCTAAGGATAACCTTAACCGCGACAACGGCTCTGGTATGTCCGTCAGGGTGCCCAACGTGTCGAGCTGGTAGGTACCGTGTGATACCGCAAACGGAATTATCATCCACGTGTAAGGTCCAGACATTTTCCGGAACGGGCCTAGCACTTTCTCTGGTGCACATTCGAATCCAACCGCCCCATGCAATACTGTGTAGTACGCAACGACTACGACGTCAGGAGGAGGAGAGCGCATAATGTGAGCTCACTCTTACTGGAATGATCCGTATCTCACGGACGTGGTAGTCCGCTACTACCTCAAAGAATCTCGACCAATTTGTTCCTTGTGTACGGATCGCTAGGTGGCCAGAAGCTAGGCCTTTGTTTTGGCATGAGCGAAAATTACGGAGAGAAACGTTCCGCCCCCACGACCGTGCGTCCGGGACCATCAGATTCATGCATAATTATTATGCACGTGATCCACTCAGGAGACTTTCAGAAAGCTACTCGCCCGAACTCCACGGTCTTCGGTGGCGGGTATGAGTGTTTTGTACGGGAAAATAGGCGGGGTTTTTTGTTTTCGTCGCAAGAAGCACCACATCCTGTCGAATGAAAAGAGTGTGAACGCTGAGTGGGAGCATTCCTCGTACACTTGGTACTAGACCATTTTGGGAGGGTGACGGCGTGGAACAGTCGCTCACTGCCATCACTCCTCGAGGATTCCGCAATCATCAGAACACCCATCCTCTCAACCGAGCGGGATTTGCTGCTCGCGAAAGTTTCACAGGGTGAGGTTTGCGTTTCTTTCAACTTGATGGATTCGTTTGTCACTCTTTTCAATTTTGTCTACAATGAAGTTGTTGTGCTGCATGCAGGAGCCAGGACAAAGCGGCCTGGATGGAACTCCAACGACTGCTGAACACGGAAATGCACATAGCACTTCTTTTCATTTCAATGGTAGTCAACTTCGCCCTTTCTGTTCTTTATGAAGCCTCTTGTTCCTGCTCCTGCTTTTCATCTCGTTGCAGTTTGGTCTTCTTCCATCCACTTCTATACTTTCAAAATCTTGCAGCGAGCAAACTAGCATACGCCATGCCGCCCAAATCAACGGGGCCGCGCGAAAGCCGCGGAAAGAAAACCGCAGCCGCCGATAAAAACAAGTCTCGTGGTCCCGCTCAGGAGGGAGAAGCTACGACACGCCGCGTCCGCGAGGCAAGAAGCGAACCACCTTGCGTTGAGAGAGTAGAACAAGCAACTTCAAGCCGAGACATGCCTCAATACACTACCGCACGTGAGCAAAAAGTCATGGAAAAACTCCGTCGTCTTAAGGAGGCAAGGGCTGCTGTATCAACACCCCAGAAAACCATGCCACCCCAGACGAAGACCATGCCACTGACCCCACCGGAGACGGTCACGCGTTCCGACACCAAGAAGAGGCCCTATTCAGAACGCTACACAGAGGACGTGGTGAGCCCCACGCCGAAGCGGCAGCAAAAGGAGAAGAAGAAGCAAAAGGCCCAGCCCATCACCGAGCAGCTCTTCGTCGACACCGACGACGAGACCGACTTTTACCAGTCGCGCCCCGCGTACGTCGAGCACACGTACGCCTACATCCAGGACCGCCTGTGGGAGCTCGTTGGCCAGCAGACATCCGAGGACGGCATCACCACGGTGGCGCGGCCGGGCCTGATCCGCAAGTTCGCGGAGAAGCACTTCGGCTTCAAGAATCTTTTCAGCGACGACGACGACGAGATCTTGCAGAAGCTGCGCGAAATGAGCGTCCACTCGGCGCTGCTCATCGGCTGCGTCACCGACGGCGGCCCACGCGGTGTCAAGGGCTGGCTGGAGATCCTCAAGACGCCGCTGGAGCGTCAGGCGCTGGTGTGCGCCATCATCGGCAAGGTGCTGGAGGAGCACGTCTTCGCCAGCCTTTGCTTCGGCGCCACGCCCAAGCAGCTGGAGAAGCTACATAAAGACATCGATCTCAAGTACCGGGACTACCCCGAAGACGGTAAGTGACCATGCCCACATCCATCCATCCACCACCGACTCACCCACCAACCCACCCTCACAGGCTTCACCCGCGCCATCCGCCGCGACAAGCACATCCGCACCGCCATCCTCGGCGGCTCCAAGCACCCCCACGGCCTCCCGCCCGACTTCACCGCCACCGCCAAGCTCCTCGCCTGGCAACTCCACACCGTCCTCGAGCCCATCCGCGCGCTCGTCGCCCCCTCCCCCTCCCACCACCACCACGCCCGCGCCACCCAGCACCACCTCGTCGCCGCGCTCTACCGCATCGTCGCGCGCGCAGGCCTGCTCTCCCTGCGCATGCGCCTCGACCCCTCCACCGTCTACCACGCCACGTCGGCGGGGAAAGGCGACTTCTGGAACGAGCGCGAGATGCGCGCCTTCAACAGGTCGTGGATGGTCAAGACGAACCCGACGACGCAGAACGAGGACGTGGTGGATGAGGACGCGAAGTATCAGCTCGCGCTCGTGCGGACGACCGTCTGGCCGGGGTGGAAGGCGTTCAAGAAGGGGGGGTGGAGGAAGGCGGATAAGGAGAGGGGGTTGAGGGTGTGTGAGTTGGGGAGGCAGTGGGTGGGTTTGAGGTGGGGGAGGCAGAGGGCGTGGGAGGGGCCGGCGGCGACGACGACGACGACGACGCGGGTAGAGGGGGGGAAGAAGGGGAAGGGGAGGAAGGGGGCCGTGGAGGAGGAGGAGGAGGAGGATGATGATGATGGGAAGCCGAGGTGGGAGGAGTGGTTGATGGTTTGGGCGAAGGGGCAGAGGGATCCGAGGGAGGAGTTGGGGGCAATTAGGGGTTGGTTCGCGTTTAGTGTGCCGGGGGATGAGCTTGAGGAGAAGGAGTGATGGCGAGGAGGTGGAGGTGGTGGCGGAGGGTAATGAGTGGTTGTGGCATGGAAGTATGTGTGGGTGGTGATGAACTTGGTTTATAGTTGTTGTGGTTGAAACTTGACGGCCGTGCTGTAGGTTGCTTGGTTTCATTGTTGGTTTTAGTGGTGCGTAGGCTTGGGTATTTGGTTTCCGGGAATTAGTAACTTCTTACTCTCACCTTCTTTCGAAATGCAAGACCTAGAATCAATGACCTGGGACCAGAGAGGCCGGATATTTGTCGTGATAGGAGGACAATGCGATGGACGGCAGCGCATGCAGTGCAACGTACAGTAGCGGTTCAATGAACACTGGTGCATTACCGGAACAATACTTTATATAGTCTGCAGCCTGGATGGAGAAAAAGGCAACTTCAGCAGCGGATGCATCTGCCAAAACTTTTCAAGCTCCACCAGCAGAAATCACGACCGTGCGACACTTTAACTCAACTCAATGTTTTTATGGGAAAGGATGACTAGAGACTTCCATCAGAATACTGTCAAAGCAACGTAGACCATGGAAGCGTTTACGCAACAGGAAGGAAATCGAAAGGAGATAAAGTATAGGAAGACAAGTCTTGTATCCACCACCGCACGAATTGGATGGGTCGCTCTTTGAATGCCAACGCGATCAAGGACGATAGAATCATTCCGGGTAGAAGTGAAGACCGCGCGATGGACAGGAGAAACTATATCATCCGTCAGTGTCATCCTTGAAGACATGTGGTCTATTAGTCCCACATACCGTAACGCCGACGAATGTGTAGAGCAGCACGATCGTGGATTGCTGCCTCGCAGCCAGCTTGTCTCTGATCCGTTCTCCAACCTCTTGAAACTCAGTCTCAAGCTGCTGAAGCATACCTCTCAGATGCTCCATATCGAGAAACATCATATGGAGCCGATGGACAGCTTCACGGTCAATCTCGGAGACCAGAAGACCGGGAGTGTTGTCCACTTTTTGGAGCAGAGACGCGATTTCCCGGTCGTTCGCAGTGCAGTACAGAACTACGGTGTGCAGATTCTTCCTGATGAGAGACACCATCGCAAATCGGATGCGCAGAGGGGTCCGATCATGCTCGAAGCCCGACTGGTATGTTTAGCAGACGCTTGGGTATAGCTGGACGGAAGATGCTTACCGAGGACTTGAGCTCTGTCTCAAGAGGCTCTAACATCACCATCCTTTTCTCCCGCATGGCTGAGACGAGATTGATGAGCTGCCTAAGCAGCTGGCTCGACCATGGAGTGCCGGGATTTCCGTAGTCGGGATCGATTCCCAACATTTCAGCATCCGGAAAGTAACATCCCATGAGATACAGCGGCCGGAATTCTGTTGCCATAACGAGCATCTTCTTGCCTCCCGAGCTGCCTGTCTCTTGGAAGAATATGAGATTTAGGTGATCCGTCGAAAGAGAACCAGCGCTCGAATTTTCTAGGTAAAGGATCCGAATGATGGTCCTTCTGCTGAACAAACCTTGATCTTCTGGCTGCTCCTCAGGATCTTCTGGCTGCTCTTCAGGTGGCGGAAAGCCCCGGTTTTTTGAGAGTATCGCCAGACGGTCACGCAAGTAAGCTGTGCTCGTGTGGCTCGGTGGGCATACGGGTCGCCATTCTAGAGGCGCAGGAGGTCGAGGCTTGCCCCAAACGTCCCCAAAAAGTACGTTGCAATCCGAGAATGTTATTCGCCATGTTTTGAACAAGATGATCATCAATATCCACTTATGGATATTGCGAGCAACCGGAGAGTCGGGTCGGACCACCGTCTGCATACGCCTGAAAAGTCCCGGGTCTTTTTGTCTAAGCCTGTCGCATACACGCTTCGTGAAGTCGTGTGGCATGGAGAGCTTAAGGATGTGAAGCTCCGAAGAAGTGTTCTCCAGACGAGTTATCAGATCCTCAACCTCTGCAGACCATGTATCTCCTGGATTCCGATTTCCGTAGAAGCACAGAGAGTCGAGAATGCCATACGAAGGCTCGCCTGCTATGCAACGATAAATAGCTACGATGTTCATCAAAGTGCTCCAATGGATCCAATGTTCTTCGCAGATCTCGTCCATGAACCGGTCCAAAGTATCGTTACAGGGTGAGTTCTGTTTTACAAACTTAGTATAAAGTCGTCCAAAGTATGTGGTCGCGTACACTAGGTAAAGACAGTGGAAAGAATGAACTCATGTTGGCTGTTTGGGCTACTTGACTCAGAGTGGATCGGGATGTAGAAGAGATGCTTCAAATTCAGAAATGGTGCCGTCTTTGAAGGGTGTGAAAAGAGAATTTTTCTCTGAAAAGTCTTGGTGCGGCAAACCAGCAAGCGAGCGCTACCTAAAACAATACGGTGGTGCAGTGTAACGTCGGGTCTCATCCTTAATGGACCCAGCTGCGTGCTCAGCCTCGTAGATTAAGCGATGGAACATGCTTCGAGAAATGATCTGTGTCATATACGGAAGCCATAAAATATAAATGGCCACAGAATGCGCCATAGTGATTGACGTTACCCTCTGCACCACGCCACATGGTTTACGAAATAAGCTAACCTGCGGCGATACTCTGAATGGGTACTTCTGGTAAGTATGCAGACGTCAATGTGCACTTAAGCGGCTTTCTTGATTAAGTAGCTGCAGTAGTAATTTGGATGTAGATGCGAGTACGAAACTGTATAAAAGCATCCAAATATAGGACTCCACTACCTATATAAGAAAGATGTAAAACATTTTGAGTAATGAGAAAGTGTTAACCGAGGCCTCTATTCATCTGTAATCAGGAAATAGTGAAATAATAAGCTCCGTAATAGACACATGACTTTTTGGATGCAGCAAAAATGAAACAAAAGAACTACCAAGAAGGCAATCAGTCGGGACTTGGATTATCCAAGCCAGTAATACTCGGACTGCCTGGCCCCAATTGCGCCGCGGCGGAGCTTTCACCACCGCGAAGTGGTGGTTGACGGAAGGAATGGCTCAAGCCCGGATTCCCATTTTGGGAGTCTTGAGTAATCAGATTGAAATCTTCAGTGCTGTCGAAGAAGAAATCATCAAAAGAAAAAGGCTCGTTTTCACCTTGAGAGGTAAAACCAAACGTGCCAAGATCTGGATCGAAGTCAAAGAAAGGGAAGTCTGGACCCGGAGGTTGTTCACCGGAATCCGCTGTATCTACCAACGGGCCAAGAAGTTGTGGCATGGGATACCCACCTCTACCTTGTGAGTTCTGAGGAAACTCGGGACCATTTACTTCGGGAGTGTCCAAGAGACTTGGTTCCGGTGCCAGAAATGGTTCGAAGGAAGCGTTACGCGATACATCAGCCGTGATAGAGACATCGTGCATTGTTCCTGAAGAAATCCCAGTGGTACTAGGCTCTTCATTCTGTTCCAGTCGAGATGGGCTGTCTGATTGATGGAGGTTTTGCGTGTCCGAAGCTTGTATGTCGAAGGAACCGGACTGATACCCGGAATCACTGGCCTCGCCAATACAGCTCCGCGCTATAGTCAAGTTGTGCTTTCCGATGCGGTTGATATTGCTCGATGAACCGTCACCAGTTCCATTTGCTCGTTGGCTGGAAGGCATCACAGTGTTCTCGGTCACTTCAGGCAGCTGGACCAAAGTCGCGACAGTATTTGAGTCTGCAGCTAGAATTCTGGAGACTGGAGGCTCCATGCCGTCGCGTCGAAATGGTTGAGGTTCGCGCTCGTGGTCGAGTTCTTCCCGTATGGATCGGATGATCTCTGGAAGCACTCTATCGATGATGCTTTCAGCCCTCGCCTCCAGAATCCCTCGTTCCATGTCCAGCAGTCCTCTGACTCGCTCGTGCAGAATTTCAGGCAACCGATTTTGCATTATGTGAGAGTACTGAGCAGCAGTGTAATCGTCTTCTCCGTCCATGTCTGTTCAGAATGATTAGTTTCTGTATAATGTAGGCAATAGGTGAAGTCTCAAAAATCTTACACGGGCATGGTATGTCTTGTTGAGCAATAGCATCGGGGAATACGATCCGCCACATCACTTTCCATTTCTCAACGTCTGGAAGGTTTTTCCGTTGTTTTGGCTCCAGCGCTTTTCTTTCTTCCGAACCGAACTTATATTCAGGACGTGGCCGATGCCCTGGACAGCCACTTTGACCCGAAGCGCTCGGTCTGAGGTGTCTTGCTAAGCCTTCCAAATTCTGGAATTCTTCAAAGCATTCTGGACAGTGTATTTCCCTAAGGGCATGTCTTCGTGAAAGATGTTCTCTTTTGATTTTCATTAGTATGAAATCTCCAATCGAATATGGAAGTGAACATACTTTACTCTGCCTGGGGTCGAGAACCCATGAGAACAGGATGGAGCCAATCCTGGAATACGAGGAAATCTTTTTCTGTATTGACAGGCAAATCGCTTCTGTGAATTCTTGGACGTGTCAGCCGGAGAATTTGTGCGCTTCCGTTTCAAGTCACGTCCTTGAGACTCGTCATTTTCCTCGTCAGCTCCAATTCCAGAGGTCGTCCTCTTTTTTCCTTTCTCAGAGGAGGAAAAGCGCGTTGAGCGCAGAGTTGCGGATTCATCCGCTCGACTGTTTTCCTCGTTCCCTTCTTGACAGGCGACGATAGCTATGAATGATTCACCTGTTGATGTAGAATCATCGCTGGAAGTCTCCGAGTAATTGGAATCCTCGTCGTATCCCAATCGTTCTTTTATCTTGGAAGTAAGGAGAGCAACGAAGCTGTTTTCCCTGGACGCTAACAACTCGTGAACCACATTCAGGGCGTTGCCATCTTTCGCAGAAACCTGTTCTTCAGGTGCGCCCTGGTCCGTTTCGTCACTGATGTTTCCATCAGTGATAGCACTTGAATGCTCCCAGCAATTTTCCGAGGCCGATGAACCAGGCAGGATGGTCGCCAGATTTGTGAAAAAGCCATTCCAGGTATATCCTTCCTCGCTGACGATGGATTCTCCAAGAGCGGAATCCAGATCGCAACCCCACCCAAATGGACTTTTACAAGTCAAGGTCGAATCGGAAGGCATTTGCAAAGCACCACGGGGTTCGCGGAGGTCGTCAAAGATAAAATGATTGGAAAATCCGGGATAAAGCCACAAGATCTGGCGGCGGTGTTCGAATGCAAGTGAGACATCCGAGCTCTCGGACGATCCTGGTTTCATAAGGTGCTGATCATGGACGTGTCTCGCAAATAGGTCTGGGGCGGATTCCAGATGGCAGATGGGGCAGATCGGGTTCCCCGTCAAATGATTGTAGCCTGCCATGGAGAGTTTGAGTTGGGCCTTGGAACGGTCTTCTTCTGTGTGGGATAGTACATGGTTCGAGAGTTGGGCCGTATCGGCACCTAGACAGGAACTGCATTGATCCAGAGGACACTGCGAGGGTCGGTGGTGTTGCAATGCCGTGAGGGACTGTGATAGTTGGTTGGATTCGTGACTCGATACGTGAATGAGCATTAGATCGAGAGGAAGCGTCTGGATTGAACAGTTGAAGGCAGGACATGCGCACAGGTCATCACGGGAGTGTGCACGTTGAAGGTGTGCTTGGAGTTCGTCTTCGGGGTAGAAAGCCTCAATTCCCCTACGATTGCATGCAATGGCCGGACAGCTGTAGGTGGCTTTCCACGCATGGCCCAACTCGTAAGTTTGGGGGGCATACTTCTCTTTCGAAGATCGCTTCATATCAGCGTCAGGGGAAGAAAAATCTGCGGGATCTGAAGGCTGTGAGGTGGGTACGGCCTCCGAGTTGACGTGTACGGATGCTTCCAGTAGAAAATGCTTCCGTCTCTGATCAACCAGGTTCTTATACCCGTTGTCAATGTGCTCGGCTTCGACGAAGTTTTGGATCATGCGTCGTCGTCCGGGCTGTTGCCCAAAGTGATGGAAGTCATCCGCCTGAACTCTGCGTTCTGTCTCAGGGGAAACCGGGGGGTGGTTCGTTGCGCCATGCCGATATTGGTGGTGAGGATTGGTGACGACAGGGCTGTAGTCATCGATGACTGTTTCCGGATAAGCTATTGTAGTAACAGAACGAAATGAATGGATAAGTCTTACATGGAGAGGGGATGCTGTTCAGCGTGTTCTCCTCATTCTGAAAAAGAATGCAGTAGATGTTCCTCCATTTCTCTTCTTCGCTGCAAACCCTTCTATGTCTCATCTTGAGCTGCCTCTCCTGTGGCTTGAGCATATACATGTCGGGGGTACGCCCAGAACCAGAGCACTGGCTACCGCCCTGTTGCGTCCACAAGTGCTTGTATAGCGTTTCATGATCCTCAAAGCCTTCGTAGCAGAGGTGGCAGTGGCGGTCGGGGAGTCTATGACGCCTGTAAAGATGTTCCCTATATCAGTTAGACATGCATATTATATCATGGGTGTCTTTAGGTGAAATAGCTGCTTGAATATTTTAAACTCACTTGAGTCTCGCTGTACAAGTAAAGCCGAAGAGGCAAGATGAATCAATGGGCTGCATCAATGGAAACTTCTTGGTGAATGGACAAGCGACCCTTCGTGCCCCGCCAATTCTTAGATGCGAGTTTCCATGTCGTGGGATTTCGTTGTTCTCAACATCTGCATCCAGTAATGGCGCTGCGCGCTCCGGAGCATGAAGAGAAGACGAACACTGGATCACAGACGTGTGTTCCGTCGCTCCATCGGCTTTACACTGTTGATACTGCGCGTTCCTATCGTATGGCGGATGGCCTACCAGCGGGGACCTGGATGCTAGAGAGGGCCGTGGATCATCCATATTCGTACGGGGGACAGCTTGTCTGCATCTGCGAATGAGTTAGTTGTCAGCAAGTATGTAGCGATGTGCCTTTCGTACGAGCCTCTTCAAATTCGAGATAAGAGCGTGCCGCACTTAGTACAGGCAAGGAGGTGAAAGCATTAAAGGTCGCAAGAAAAAGAGCCGACCAGGAGATGGCGACTCTTGCACGTCTTATGAGAAGGCTTCTCGCGCATTTGCGCGCATGCGTGCATGTACGTAAGCCGGCGGCATGGATGAATGAGCCAATGAGAACGTACCCCACTTCAGCCTCATAGACTCGGCAACAGGGACAATTCGAGAAAGGATCTACGTGAACAACTGATTGGAATGAACATCGTAGCACGTGCTGGGTAGTCTAGGTGGGTATATCAGTCCCGATACATGCAGAACCTTTGATTCGCTCTATTCGGGCGATCCTCCGTCATCGTGGATGACGTCCCCTGGAATCTATAGTCCCTCTTTCGCTAACATATCTGCAATTGGGTGAGTCAAGTCCCGAGAAACTCTCGTGAGTATCTTACCGCAAATATCCAAATAGAACGCAATTGCGTTAAAGCTGCGCAATCCATCAGTCCCGTTCACCTTCCCAAACACGAGGAGACTCACGTCGGCTTGTACCCCACCAAGGAGTAAAGCATCCACTTGACCCGTGAGGTCCAATTGATGAGGTCCAGATGGCTGACTCCCGAAATGGTGCCCTTGTACGTCCCCCATTTACTACTTGGGACACTGCGAATGCGTGTTAGCAATCATCGACAAATTCCGAAAGCCGAGTCGCGCCATACCTGACAAGCCCGTCGTTTGGCGCATTCTCCAAAATCGCGACCAGATCGTGCAACTGCTTGAAGCTCGACCAACGCTCCGGTTCCAGCGTGGCGCCATACGAGTAGTACTTCACGCCCTCACGGTCCGGGGTTCTGGGGTTAAACTCCTCCTGCATGTACTTTCGGGTCAGTTGTGCGAAAGCTCCCGTCTCAAGTCTGCAGAACTTCAGCACACTATACGCCCTAGGCAGGTTATCCGCTGACGTCGGCATTAGCACCACTCATGGTCCACCACGTCCGGAGACGCACCTCCAATCTGGTCCATCATCCAATCCGCAAAGGCGGAACCGCGGTGTGGTGTCGCAATGGTAGTCAAGGACTTGACGTCGACGTTGCGTGGCCTCAGCTGGCTGATCATGTACCGCGAATCCAGTCCTCTGCGCAGCCTCGTCAGCCAACCCCGCCCATCCAAAAGAAAGCAGGTAGCACTTACCCCTATCTCCGTTCATCAGCTCACCAAGTCCATCAGCGTAATCGACCCAGACAGAACCACCACCATACCATACTATGCCTGCCCACCACACCTATCGCATCAGCACACACACCCACACAAACACACACACCACCCCCCCTTCCCCCGCAAAGGCCCCAAACCAACTCACGCAATGATATTGACCCCCCTCCCCCCTTCCCTCCCCTCCGCGACCTTCACGGCCGGATGTGCGGCAATGACCTCCGCCAGCTTCTTCCCCCTCTCCTCGATGCTGCCGGACGGCGAGACGGCCGTGGTGATGACTTCTATCCCGTTCGCTTCCAGCGCGTCGCGCACGCCGCGCCAGTACTGCAAGCCGGGCAGGTACGGCCCCGCGAGGCGCAGCTCGTCGAAGCCGAAGAGGCCGTGGGCGAGGACGATGGGGTATTTCTGTTCGGGGCGTTATGTCAGTGCCGGTGGGTGCTTGTGGGTAGCTAAGGAGCGGGCTAGCTGGTTGCCAGGTCGGTTGGGTTGGGTGGGCGGCGTACCGGTTTGTCTGTGGTGATGGCGTGTGTGTTAGTTGCTGGATGGGTGGCTGGATGGCTGGGCGCGCGAGTGAGTGTATAGCGCTGCTACAGACCATATTTGTCTCGCAAGGCGGCGAACTCGTTGCGGTACTCGTGCCCCAAGTCGAGGTCGTCGATGCGTGGGTCCGATGCTTGAGCGACGGGCGAGCTGTGTATCGTGCGATAAGAGGCGCGGACTTCCCTGGCCAGGATACCAATGGTCTGGCGCCGTATCAGCAGCGCGGAGGTCATTGTATCTGTGGTAAGGTAGTATAGCGTGAGACGTGTAAAGTAAATTGTCAAGAAAAGTAGAGATGGCGTGTTGGAGCTCCAGATGATGTTGTTCGCGATGACGTAGCGCGGTCGGCAACCCCATGCACAAGGTCCCTTGCACGAGGTACCTTGTCGATGATTGCCGAGAGCTCCTGCATAAACACAGAAATGATCGTTGCAGACTTGTTTTTAGGTTCACGAATCGAGATGATGAAACACCACCGTGTGCTTTACTAGCTTGCATTCAAGACGAGTCACGTCGCAGGTAAACAGACTGCCTTTACATGCCAGCCGCCGCTGTGCCAAAGCAGCTCGCAACGTCTATGATACAGGCCGACTCTATGAACACAACCGACGCGACAGGTGCGGACACGTCGAAGGCCTCGCACTGCGTATAGAGGAGAAGAGCCGTCAGCTCATACATGATCAGAACAGGACAACATGATGCGTTTCAGAGGGTAACCATAGTGAATGCCGAGGGTTTTCAGTCCTTCTACGCCGCGGGCTCTGCGTTGACATTGGTGACGGCCTCGAGCAGCTGGTCGACGACCGAGCTGCCGCCCTTGCCGCCGATATCCTTGATCTCCTGCAGCTTGACCTCCGTCGCCTTGTCTGCCTCCTCCTCGGCCTTCTTGTTGCCGCTGGAGTGCTATAGTAGAAAGTCATCGTCAGTTGCGTGGGCCATTCTCGTATGGCGCGGTCCATCACGGCGGGCATCGCGTGGGTCGTACCTCCGTCTCAAAGGCCTTGAACTCCTCTTCCTTCTTGCTCTTGTACTCGTCGATCTCCTTCTGGGCCTCGCTGCGGGCGTCCTTCACGCGCTTGGTGCGGTCTACGGGATGCGGTCAGATAAGAAACGTCCGAGAGGGTCGTCACCGAGAGCGGCGGTGGGGGATCGGAGCTGAAGTACATTCTCTGGCTGGAGAGAGGTTAGCCTGGCCGGAGTCTGGAGAGGGTGTCTCGATGCTGACCTTTCTGGACGATCTTCTGGGCCTCACGCTCGGCCTGTGCGTTGCTGTGAGCTCGGTGTCGTTGACATGGACCCGCAACTTCGGGCTAGCTTACGTCGAGCAGCGTCTGAATGCCCGCGGAGTTCTGGGCGGACTGCGAGAGACAGGTCAGCATGGGAGCAAGGCAGGGGCGGGCTGCGAGGCTCGACGCACCATGGTGCCGGGATATTGGAGGGATCGATGACGAGGTGGGTGGGATGGTCGCGAGAAGGTCGAAGGTGCCCGATGCTTGGAGCTGCGACTGGAGTTGCAGCACCCACCGTCGTCGGTCGTGCTTGCCCGCGTGGAGCTCGAGCCAAGCCTCTAAGGCGGTGAGTGCGGCGCCTGACTGACGCCCGCCAATCTCAAAATATCCCGGCCCGTCTTGTCCCTCGCACCACCTTCTCGTGTCTCATTCGCTCTCGATCGGCCACACTTCTTCCTGCGGAGCGATCCCCTGACCTTGCGGGAGTAGTGCCATTCTCTTCTCCGCCATCATGTCTACGGCCTCCAAGCTCACCCTCCTGGGCACCACCGCCGGCGCCATCGGCATCGTCATCATGGTGCATTACCAACAGAAGGCTGAGAAAGCGGTACGCTCAACGCATACGTGCTATGGCAATGTCACCAACTAATGCGATACTAGGCAATGCATGCTGGCGTCCTCCGCGACCTCGAACAGCAAAAGCTAAAGCGCGAACGTATGCTCGATTTCGAAATGCAACGAAAACTGGAGGAAGAATACCGGAAAGTCCAAACGATCTCGGATGGGAATAAGGATATATCATAGCCCACCCGGAGCTCTGCGTGGCAAAAGGTCCGCTTGGAAGCTTGAATGGTTTGCGCCGCCTGAAAAGGACATGCGCAGCATCGCAAGCTCCAGCTCCGCACCTACGCAGACCGGCACGTTTGCAATTGCTCTTGCTTCTGTCGCGTTGGCGCCCTGCACAGAACGTGGACTCGAGATGCCTCTGCCACACTAGCCGGGACCGAAAGATCTGTTGCGACATGCTGATGTCGTGCGTGGCCGTCTGCAAGTTGATTCCATGGAACCAACTGTGCGGACTATGCCGAGTAGAGCGCTTACTGCGCTACTACAACAAAACTGCACGAAAACAACCTTAAAAGGTTATACAGTTTGAACGACTAAAGAATGTGTACTTCAGCCTGTAAACAGGATTACAAACAGTAATTTCAGACGGAAACATTCTTCTTCGTTTCCACGAAAAGATCTATTTAGAGGTGAAAAACGAAGGGAAGGCCAGATATTGCCAAGGCTCCAACTATGTTAACAAATTCGCCGCGTGTGTTGTGGAGGAACCCACCCAAAGCCAGCTCATAACGCCCACAGTAGCTCCAGAAAGATGCGACAAAGATTCCAACAATGCCACCAACTCGGCTACAAACCCCCAACGTGGAAGGATGCAGCAATCACGACGACGACAACTTTCTCTTCCCGGTAAAGACCGGCTCCGTATCCATGGGCTCGCCCTCATCGTTCGCAAACTCCACCACCTCCCACTCCTCGCGATAGGAGCCATCGTCGGCCGCATATCCCCCACGCGTCCTATTTATCGTCCCCAGCCGACTGTTCTCCACCAACCGCTCGAACCACGGCGCGCCCTGCCCCGGCGTGACCTGCAACGGCCCAAAGACCTCCCGCGCCAGTCTCGGCTGTCGCTGCTGCTGGCCCCCGGGCGGCGTCGCAGCCCTACTCGCCGGCGCCGACATTATCCCCGCTTCCGCGTCGCCATTGTGGTGGAACAGCCCCATGTCCTCGAGCTCGCGCACGTCCTGCTCGCGCAGGCTGCCGAGGGTCAGCGAGATGAAGTCGGCGTCCTCGCGCGTGCGCTCGTGCCACGACGTCAGCGGCGTGCCGCAGAAGCCGCAGAACTGGCGGCGGAGGCCGAGGGGCGGGGTCGGCGTCGTGGCCGTCGGCGTCGGCGGCGGCGTCGGCGGTTGCGGCTCGTGGAAGGTGCGGCGGATGAGGGAGAGCGGCTCGTCCGGGTAGAGCGGCTCGGCGGATGAGCGGTACCAGCTCAGGGGCACGCGGAGGAAGGCGCTGAACGGTGTGCCTTGGTGGCGGCCTGTTTGTGTTGGAGGACAAGGCGGTACGGTTAGTTTCGGGCGTCGGGAGCTTTGGGGAGGGGATGACTGGGTTGCTTACGGGTTCGGAGACTGCTGTCGAAGAGGACGGAGGCGAGCTGGTCGGAGGCGGGAGGGACTTGGACGACGTAGTGGTTGCGGCCGCAGGCGCAGGAGCCCTCGAGGGTGCGCTCCATGGGTGTTGCGGTGGACGCTCGAAGTGTGGTGATGGGAAGCTCGCGTGGCGCAGAATAGTTGTTTGTCCGCTCAATTGAACCTGTCGTCGGAGCTTAGAGCACGGCCCAGCAGAGGTAGGATTTAGGAATGTGACAAAGCTTGTCGACTTGCGGTTGACGCGTGCCTAGGTGTGTTATGTGTGCTTGGGATGATGGAGGGGCTCTGGACAGTGCGATCAATTATTAGAGGCATCATATGTCATATGCTCGCACGAGCCACAGCCGTGATTTCGCCGGGCGGACGGGCTGTGGATGCACACGTTTGCTGCCGCGGAGCTGCCAACCACCGAACCCCCACGAAGCCACGACGCCTTTCCATCACCTTCCGCTCTCATGCAACTCATCCAGCAGCCAACCATGACGCAAATAGTCAGCCGTGGCGCGCGTGAAGGGACGGCTGCCCTCGTCAGGCCTCCAGGCAATGGTAGTGCTGCTCACGAGAATAGAAGACCGTCCCTTCGAGCATCGCCCAGAAAGTGCTCCGAGGGTTCTTGGCTGACGGTACTCCCAGCCATGCACACACGCCAATCATCTCGAACGCCTGTCAATTGTCTGTCCAGGTCATTTTACACGCCTGCCCGAGGCACTGCATGCATTCCTAACCACCCGAGGGAGACGAAAGTGCTCTTTGCAAGTCGCACAGGGGTCGCGCAACTCTGACACAACGCCACACTGCTGCACCCACAAAAATTGACAACTCACCAGATGGATCATCATTACGATTACTACCATGATCTAATTCTCTCTAAAACCAAACCACGAACTCCTCTATCGACCAAAATTCCCTTCTCTCCCATCACACTCGAGCGGATTGCGAAACTAGATCAGATGACCAGCATCACCGACTAAAATCGTTCACCATCCCTCCCACCTCTTCCAGGGCAGGCGGCGTTTTTCCGGATCTGCAGGCACCACGCTGAGCATCCGCTCTGGGGAGTCGGGGATGTCGGGGCCGTATTTGCAGAAATCCCAGAGGCCTGATGAAGGTGCCTGTTAGCAACGGCTGAAGACCCGAGCGAGGCGACAAACGAAACACCCACCTGAAGCCATAGCCCGAGGAGTCTGGACAAAGTATTTGGTGTAAGAACTGCTTCTTGAGATTGAGGGCCGCTGGTTGGGCGTGGGAGTTGTTGGCTGGGAGTCGATGGAGACGCCAGGCGTCCGACTGTTGTCTGCTGCCATGTTCCGAAAAGCGAACAAGGTATGTGAGGAGAGGGCTTTGAGGTTGCGCGTGAGTTGAGTTGTTGGCAGCAGAGTGTGCAGCCTGAACTTATAGCCCAGGTGAGCTCGCTATGCGGTACCTAACGGTTTAGGGGTGGCAATGGACCGCACTTGGCGAGTTGCTTGTGATTTGCGATGAGCATCGGGGATGAAAATCTTTCTTCTTATCGTGCGTCAAGCGTGCGCGTTTTGATTATTGTGGTTCCATCAGGGTATGGCTCACGCTGCATATCACCCTGTTGGGGTCACGCAATGCAGCAAGGTAACATGTGTTCTAACGGGACCGTGGATCCATGGACCCTGAACGAGAACGTCGCAAGGAATCTCCATAATTAGCACGGCTCTTATCAGACACAGCATCTTCCGACCAGTCACCGGCCGCAGCCTCCCCCCCGTGCGACCGGGAGGAACCGTTCATGCCGGCATGTCTCAGACCTCGAAACAAGGGAAAAACACCTCAACTCAAACCTCGCCAACAACCTTGGCCGCATCAACATACCACGTCTCCACCAACACCCTCCTCGCGGCCTCGAAATCGACCCCCTCTCCCCTCTTCTTCACCTCCTCCCTGCTCCTCACCAACTCCCTCGCCACATCACCCCACCCCACCCACAACGCCCCTAACCCCCTCCTCCACCACCATCCCCTCCTCCACCAGCTTCCCTCCCCTCTCCCTCACCACCCCATCCACCACAACACACTCGACATCCCCCGCGCCCCCCGCGCCCCCCGCGTGCATCACCACCACCGCCGCCACCGGATCCTCCCTCCCGCGCCGCGCACACTAATGCCAGGACCCGTCGCATCCCACACACCACCACATCCGCTCTCTCGCCCTTCTCGCCCTCGCGCGCAACACGGCCCACGACCCCTCCCAGCCCTAGAGCGCGCGCGCCCCCCCCCCCTTGGCCGTCCCCAGCTAGGTTGAACGCGTCCTCCACCGTCCGCCACGCCTTGCGCGGCACAGCGCGGCACGGCCCCCTGCCGCCAGCCAGGTAGTGCGCGCGCGTCGTTGCGCTCGCCTCGCCTCGCTGCGCGCGCGGACTGCAGGTAGGCCCACCAGCCGCAGCTCGCTCGCTCGGGAGGAAGGAAGGAAGGGTGTGCCGGCCGAGTGGTTGGCAGTCGTTTGCTGACGACGCAGGCGATGGGGGAAGGGCGTCGGAAGGCGTCGGAGGTGGAAGTGGTGGAAGTGGTGGTGGAGGCCGGGAACTCAGGCGGTGTCCGCGGGCAGGCGAGGGCGAGGGCGAGCGGCCGGCTGGCCGGCCCAGCGCCCATGTAGGTGCAGCTCGGTCGAGAGGGCGTACGCGCTGGCGAGCGAGCGAGCGAGCGAGGTGCCCCGGGTGGGTGGGCTTTCAGCACCTGGGCGATGTCGGAGGGCGTGGCGCCCTGGCGCCCGTCGCGTGGGACAGCACTAGGGTTGCTGGGAAGCCGCCGCCTCCGCCGCCGTCGGGGAGGTTGTTTTCCTCCTCCTCAGCGTCGTCAGGTTCGTCGTTTTCCCCTGCGGCGCTGCCCCTCGCCGCTGCCGCCGACATCCCCCCCCCCC